GGTCTGTTGATTCTGATTTCCATTTCAGTGAATATGTGGCCCTGCGTTTCCCTTCTTTTGCATCCCTGTGATGTTCGGTGACAATTAACATCCCAACTCTTTCTCGAGGTTTGTTGAAAGCTCAGGGGCTAATTCGAGGGTCAAGCAAGACTTGCAAGCTGTCAGTCTCTCATTGTAACTCGTGTCCCATTCCCCCACTCAGGTTCTTTATTCCGGCTCCCCCTCCATTCTCCCAGACCTCGTTTTGTAGAATGGCCCAACTCTTCTTCTATTCTCCTGTGGCCCTCTAACAGCCAGAGAGGGACAACCAGGAGCTTTGTCTAAGAAGCCCAGCATTCTTTCACATCTGCCTCTTGTTTTCAGACCCCCACTGCATTTAAATTTCAAACTGTCCTTTTCAATCAATCCTCTCTCCCTCCCTTCTAATAACCCCCTTCCTCCCAGTCACTAAGCCCTTTTATTTCTTTTTTCCTAAGAGGACCAACTGCTCCTGCGATTCCTAATTTTGTCACACAGTTGTTGATTGTAAAGCATTCTGCTGTATTGCCCGTACATCAAGCACACATATGTTTAAAGCCTCTGGGCTCACGCCCCTGTGGCTTCTACATTTTTCAGAGTACTTAAACATCTGTCTGCAGCGGCTTCACGTTTAGCCCGAGCACTGCGATGCTTGTTGACATTTTAGCAATCTGTGCTTAAAAATCACAGGAGACTGCTACGGTCGCGCGTTTCGTGAAGTCGAAGGATCCGCGTCGACAGCATCTCTGCGTGTCGAGTCCAAACTTCCAGCTCGACGCAGCGGCGGCGTTATAGAGATGCTCAAACCTGCTCTGAGATCACACCGGAGTCGAGGGCTATTTGAGAAAATGGTCAAAACGAGATCACCGGCAGTTTCCGTTACAAGGCGAAGAGAGGGAAAAGAAAGCCCCAGCTGAGAGGGGAGACCTCAGCATGTTTAATGAGAACGGCAGTCTGCAGTCTCCCTGTAGCCTGCGCCTTTGGTGTCTCAGCATGTTAAGCACTCACAGCATGATACAAAATATATTAAAGTATAGGACTGTTATCGTCGATTTACAGAACATCCGTCCCCGTGTTACCGCGGATCTACAGTCGTCCTTTTTTTTCTTCTCCTTTTGTGGCAGGGGCTCTACGCCGCCTTCAAGGCAAAGTGTTTAAAGGCATCTTTGTCTTAGCGTTCTGACACAGGGCGTGTGAGCGCGCCATCTCCCTTTTTTTACACTAAGCAATGATGACAAGGAAGTAAGAATAAATCATATTGAGACCTGTTTACATACACAAACACCTGCAGCCATGAAGAAGACACGCATCCACCGAAATGCGCGTTTTAACCTATTATGACCATAGTTTGGCATAAAGTGTCGACTCGAGCTGTAACAGTTTAGTCAGACCTGATTTGGCTTAAACGATCACTCGATACGTTTGTTGCTGCATCAGCTAATAAAGCAACTGTAAAGGGAAAATGACTAATTCACCACGGGAAGCCAATAGACCGGTTATCGAAACGAGCACGTTAAGTAGGTCACAGCGTCTTGTCAGGACTAGTGCCAGTCACGGCACATACATCCAGTAGCTCCTGGTGC